GTCTCGAATGACTCGGTGCAGTTAGAGGGTGAAGGCCCGTCCCGTGTGCTGCAGGCAAGCAGACCCCTGCCAGAGTCCACAAATGCCTCCAAACGGGGCTACGCACTTCATGGCAATGCAGGATTGCTTTCAGGCTTTCCCTCTAGCTTGCTTCTTTGGCCTTTTGGCTCCGGGCAAGTGAGACCAGGGGGCACCTGAACTCCAAGGCCTCTACACGTGAGGTTTGCACGTAGGATGCCTGCCATGGATTTGGGAGTATCCAGAGCCCCGGGCTGAAGCGCCTGGGAGGGAGGAGACCACGCAGACTCGAATGATCCAGCTCTGCTCTGTCGAGAGAATTGGGAGCTGATTTGGCCCAAGACATGAAACTTGAAACAAAACAAAAGAAGTGTGAGAGCAGGTTAGACAGACGCCCATCTAGGATGCCTTAGTCCTGGGTGACCCTGCCTGGAGCAGACCTGTTTGCAGTGGCCGTGGGGAACAGCAGCCCCAAGCCCACGGGGAAGGCAGTGAGCTGATCTTAATGAGGGAGGCCACTGAATGCCAAACAGCCGAGCGCCGGGGACAGCTAATGAGACAGCAGGGATGGGAGCGGGGGGCAGAGGTTCATGACGATTGCTCGGAGGTGGGGACGTGGAGCAGAGCGCCCCAGCCTGCAAATGAGCCCAAGGAGCCAGTGCACGCCACCCAGCGAAACGCTGCCAGGGTGGACTCACTGGTGACCCCCGGCCAGAGCCAGGGGGTTGACCAGGAGGCCCTGGGACCTGGCGGGGCCATGGACAGGGTGTGCATACACACGAAGGTGCAAGGAGAAGTGCACCCCTGCAAAAGGGGCTGGTCCTGGGGTGCCCGAGAATCGCACCGGATACGCGCCCGTGGGGACGGCTCCGTGCAGGAGCTGCCTCGAGCAAGGACTGGACCAGACGTGACCTCCCGAGGGCCGGCTGCTCTCAGAGTCTGAACCCCATTTCGTGTCCACTCCCCCCGCAGTCCGCCTGCCTCCGAGTCGGGCCCATCCAAAATCCACGGGACAAACCCAAGAACGCATCGGCCTGCCCAAGGAGCCAGCAGCGCCGGTGGGGGGGGGTTACTTTTCACTTGCCCCTGAAAACCGGTGGTTGCTGCTGTCTCCTCGGGGGATCTCCTCATTAGCTGCCAAGGCTAGAAACAGCCCGTCCACAACGAGGGCAGCGAAGGCTCTTTCGCAGCCTGTCCCAAAGCCCAGGAGAGTTGCTCCCGGCAGAGCCCAAAGCTGCTCCTTTCTCCCCGGTCCGAGAAAGGGACTGCGTCTGGGCGCCGCCGGCATGCACCAGCTGCAAACGCTTCAGGGGAAAGTGCGTTTAAACCTTCTTTTAAAAACTGTTTTCTGGATTGTGAGCAGCGCCTCCTGGATGCATCCCTGGGTTGGGGGGGATGCATCTTAGCTTGTTTCTATGACGCCCAGATTTCGGGCTCGATTGACCTCGACAGTTTCTCTGTCCAGAGCTGCCTCCGGAGCCAGCGCTCAGCATGACGGCCAGGCCCCGGAGGCTTTGGGAGATGAATAAAACGATGCTTCAAGTTGGCTGCAGCTGGTTCCCGGAGAACCTGCTGAGCTGCTCCCGTGGCCAGTGCCAGCCGGCCGTGGCACCTCCTAATTCGATTCGAGGCTGACTGGCACCGTCCCAGCGAGAGGACAGGCCGCTGGGGTCCGGGAGAAGAGGCTCACGCCACAGCCCGGCCCCGAGCGGGGCGTGGGAGAGGCCCAGCCGGGACGGAGGCTGGAGCACCTGACCGGAGCTGCGAGGCGGCTTCTCTAGACAGACTTGCCTCGTCGCGTCGTGTCCTGACACGTCCGGGCACCGCGCTGGTTTTTCCAGGGTGCGTTCACACACGGAGGCTCGCAGGCGGCGTCTCCCTCTCAGGGTGTCATCGAGGCGTGTGCCTGGGCCTGGGATTACCCAACGCGCAGCGGACACGGGTGGGAAGCATCGGCGATGACCTCTGCTAAGGCAAAAGGGCAGGGAAGTGCAGGGCAGCATCCCTGGAGGGGTAGAGGAGCGCCCACGAGATGCAGGACAAGGGAAAAAGGTTTCACCCGCGTCGGCTCAAGTTCAAGAGCAACTTTCGGACGAACCCTGTTTGCCTCTGCAGCTGGGCAGGGCAGCGGGGCTCCTTTCCCAAGCGTTTGGCTCCCCGAATGGAGCGAGTTGGTTGAATAAGGTATCTTGCAACTGCCTGTGAATGATTTGCCCCCTCTGCTAGCAGGAGGTGCAGCCCCACGGCCTTTCTTTAACCTGCCTGTGGGATGTCCCAAAAAAGGCTCCTGAGAGACAAACTGAACTGCGAGCCTGGCTCAGGCGCTCTTTGCCCGCTGGATACGACGGGCGTGCTCGCAATGCTGCAGGCTGCAGAGGAAGAGCATCGTATGGTACTAAAAGCCATCCTCAAGAATGAGCATCCTGCATGCAAGTGAGATTTGGGAAGAGAACGGCTGCATCAGAGCAAACATCCAGGGCCTGTGGCTCTCCTGGGACAAACCTCGCTCTCCAGGGGAAGGGGACCGGGGTTTGCATGCTGACGAGCGTGGCCTGCCGGGCTGCACATGCCGGATCACACTCCCTGCCCAGGCTGAAGCAGGCACCTGGGGACCAGCTCCTGAATGCAGTCTGCTGGGGACAGGTTTCTCACCCGGAGCAGAGCGCCGTCATCTCGGGCAGCGCACGGTGCCCAGGGCTGAGTCCGGAGAGCTGCCCCCCCTCCCCGCTGGGAGCCCCGTTCTGTGGGGCACTGCTGCCACCTGCTGGGCCCAGGCCTCGGCCTCTGCTTCGCGGGGGCCACGCTAGGAAGCACGCGTGTTGCTCGTGGCACGTCTGCTCCATGCTCGGTAGAGATCGAGAAGGACGTGCTTGGAGCACCCGTCTCCACTAGAAGCCAGACAGGTGCTAATAGCAGCCCCGTGGCAGGGACGTGTATGTGCAGAACTGCAGGCACGAGCTCAGACTACCTCGTCCATGCCCGTTCTGCCTTGGACGTGCTGTTTCCAGAGGCCGTACGCGCTAGTCACAGGATCACAGAAAATGACAGCTGGCAGAGACCTCAGGAGTCGTCTAATCCAACCCCCTGCTCCAAGCAGGACCAGCCCCAACTACATCACCCCAGCCAAGGCTTAAAAACCTCCAAGGATGGAGAGTCCACCACCTCTCTGGGTGAACCTGGTCCAGTGCTTCACCTCCCTCCTAGTGAGAAAGTTTTCCTTAATATCCAGCCTCCCTTGCTGCAAACTAGTGGAGAGCCCTGGGCAGGACTGAGTGCCAGAAATGGGCTTCCAGGCTGGGCTCTGGGCAAGTCCTTCAGGCTGGCAAAGGCAGAGTGAGGTGCCTAGGCTGAGATTTCAGAGAAGCCGAAGGCAAGGAGGCAGCCCAGCTCCACAGCTCCCTCCTAAAGCCAGGCCCCAACTCCATGCTTCGGCCAGTTCAGTTTTCAGGCCCGGGGCCCGGTGTCCCCTGCTCTGGCAGTCGCCTCCTCCTCTTCCTGGTGCCTAGCAGAATCCAGGGCCCGGCTCTGCAAACACTGGGTGCCCCTTCTCTTCCTGGGAGGAAAAGCAGCGCGTGCACCTCAGGAGCTGGGAATCCTTTACCCGTGCTTTGATGCTGTAAGTGCTGGCCCTGGCAGGTCATTTGCTGCCTGCACGCTACGCATGATTCACGACCGTTGGGGTTTGGATTCTGCACCTGAGGGAAATCATCATGTCAAAAGGTCTGGGGATTTTAACTGTCCTACACCTTTCCTGCTCACTGCTGCTGTTTTTCCCCCACCGCTGTGGGCAAGACCAAGTACAGTGGCTTTCTTGGGCTTCGTCATAGCAAAAAGCCCCCGTCTGTTGATGGAAGGGAGCTTGGTTTGGTTTAAACTTGTTTGCTTTTCCCACAGCACTTACACTTTCCTCCCTCTACCCTCCCCTCATTCCTGTACAGTGAAGTCCCATTAACCTAGGGCAAGTGAAGTTAGCTCGTGCTAGCGTTCTTTGAAAAATGCACATCCTAACTGCTTTCAAAAAGCAAAGGAGAGTCCCTCTCAACCCGCTGCATGTGAAAGGAGGGGACGGAGGACATCTCTGGTCGCTGTCCAATGCCACACTCTTCTGTTCCTGCCGCCAAACTGCAGCTTCTCACAAACCCCGTCTCCTCCAGAGCAGCCGGAGAGAGAATCAGTGAAGGAAGCGGTTGAGGAGAGTTCACCTGGACAGCCCAGCCTCAGATGCTTGGCTACTCACAGATGTAGCCTGGATGCACAAACATGGAAAGTTTCCTCCCCTGGTGCCCGAGTTGCCCGAGCGGCTCTGGGCAGTTCAAGGCACATGAACTAACAGCCCTCATGCAGCTTTCCCGCCAGCTGCTCGGATGCTGCAGCGATGAAGAGAACGCGAATGGAACGGGAAATCCCGACGCCTTGGGCCTGGCTTCCCTTTCTGCGCGGGAATCTCGGACAAGCCTCTGGAGCTCAGGGGGCTAAGTGATTTACAGGGCACAAAACACCCAATGCAAGAGCAGCTGCATCTCCGTGACACTTCTCTGGAGCCCTTATGCTTTCCCAGAGGGCTGCGAGGGTGTCTACAGATGATGCCAGAGGCAGGGCAAAGCCCCCCGTCCTCTGCCTTCATCGTGCAGGGCCTAAATCCTTCACTCAGCCCCATTGGGCCAGGGAAAAGCTTGGGTTCAACACTGGGCCCTTTGCCCGCTTCAGTGGTGCAGTGAATGGACAGCACAGGGAAGTCGAGGGAGGAAGGCGAAGAGGAGGGGCCACAGGAAAGAGCGGAGGGATCGGTCAGAGACATTCACTCGACAGGCGGCCAGTCTGCAGCCTTCCCGCGGCCCCGGACTAAGATGGTTATTGCTCAGCAGGGCGCAGCTTTCGCTGTGCCCAGCACCGAGCTTTCCCTCCTAGGATGTTCTAGGGCACAAGTCACCGCGGCAGTCAGGCCCCTCTTCTGGGCTTTCCAACATGTAAATACCAGCGTGAAGCATGAATCTTCTTGGGTTTATTAAATAAAATGTGTTATGGTTACAAGAGGCCCACAGGGCTTACTCTGACAGAGCGTTAGACAGCCGTGAAAATAAATCCGATGCTGCCGAGATACCAGCGCCGCTCCTGAGGAGAAGCAGGCTCCTGACGACTTCATTTAGCTCCGAACCGGGACGGCTCTTCCCGTTAACCCTTTCCCCGAACCGCTAGCGTTTGCGCTGGAACCTGAACTTGTACACTGCGGGGCCGTTCACCGTCTCCTTCTTCACCTTCACTTTGTGGGTTTTGTCCTGGGGAAGACACGAGAGCAATTGATTTCCCTTGCGAGCGTGCAACAAGAGGAAAACCCCGAGGAGAACAAACGAGAGCAATGGTGGGAACAGAGGGTGCAGAGCCAAGGCAGCGGGAGGACTAGAAAAGATATTTCTACTTGTTCTTTCACTTTTAATCATGGGGTCAGGCACGCAGGCAGTTATAGCCCAGGTATGCACTGAACTGTGAACCCCACGGAGGCAGGAAACCTCTCCTCCCATTGCAATTCTGAAGGGTTTCTACCACCGCGTTCTTCTCTGACGCTCCCCAATACCGACTTGGCGTTTGGGCAGCCCCAGGAAGTCCTACAAAGAACTGAGCTTCTGGGCCAAAGGCCTGAACAGGAGCAGCATAGGAACAAGGCACCTGCACTCGCAGCCGAAACGTTTCCTGGGGATCCCTCCCCCTGCGCTCACAACAAGAAACAAGCCCCTCACCAGGAGATCTTTGCGTGTCTGGATTTTCTGGGCAATGACAAACAGCTGCTTTTCTCGCTCGATGCGCTGCTTCAGGAGGTCGTACTGACCGCTCCGCTTCTGGGCTAGTTTCTGGAGGAGGAAAAGAGCATTTTTGAGTGGAGGAAAAAAAAACAAGAAAGCACCTGGTGTCAACTAGACCCTTCTCTGGCTCGTAGTCAGGGGCCTCATTGTGGGCTGAGGGATCACACTCAGGCTGACCCTGACCACAAACTCATTGATGCTTTAATAGAGCTTTGCCCAATTGACAAAACTGCTGCTGCTCCTAAAGGGATGTGCCTCAACCCTCTTGGCCCCGAGAGCTGAGCTTTCCTGGCAGGGACCTGAAAGGTTCATACAGGCGAGACAATTTAGTACAACTGAAGACCAAGGGGCCCAACCACTTCTGAGCTGGCCCCGATACTACAGGAAGTGCTAGTGTCTCCCAGCACAGAAGGGCTCGGGGCTCGGTGGTAAGTAAACCTCTGCTTGCCAGAGAGAGAGAACGGCTCATTAGCTAACGAGAGCTGCTGGACCCGCAGCACAAGGCGGTGTTGCTACTGGGGCGATCTAGTTACTGATACCCAACAGGACAGATCCCAACAGGCTTCAGATGACTCAGTCTTTTAGGAAGGGAAAAGATGCATTGATCTAAACAAGTCCACGAGCTTTTCTGACGAGCCAGATGGAGAAGGCTGGCAGGAGGAACAGGCCAGGGCGGGACGCTAGCCAACGTCCTATTTAGAAACAACCTGCTGCAGTCTTCCCCTCGGCAATTTCAGACACCTTTATTTTTACCTTCTTGCACAGACTGACTCAGGCGTACAAGACTTCCCAATATATCCAAACTAATTAGGAGGTATTTATACTGCTGCAACCAAGTTTAGCTGTTCCCAAGCAGAAGGGAACTGCTGTGAAACTAAAACATCAGGAGCGAAGCTGATGCTGTGCAAGCAATTTGGGCTGGAGAACTGACACCTGCACGAAACAGTTCAACTTAAAAGCAGCGAGGAAGTGAGATTTCAGCTTGGGCATCTGGGGGGGGGGGGTGGCAGGGCACCGGGTCACAAACACCACCAAGCTCAGAGCCACAAAGTTCAAGAATCCCATGTAGTTTCATGAACCAAGAGACAAGCAAGCAGCAGAGAAGAGAAATCTCTGAAGAAATCCACACAGCTCCCATCACCAGCTGCAGGGGAAAGGGACAGCCCATGTAACCATCGTGACGGGAGACAGCGACTTCACAAGAAGCTCCGTCGTGTCTGGACTCAGGGACAAATGCGCTTTAATGCTCAAATGCAGCAGGAGAATGCCATTTCTTTTACACAAGGGGACTGACTCCCAATCTCACGACTGCCCTGTATCCCAACAGCCTAATTAAACCCTGGCTCTGCAGTAAGGGGCACGAGGCTGGCAATGGACCCAATCTGCCTCCAGGAGCACTAGTGGCTTTGTTACCGGCGTGCCTGCACGTGTGAGCAGCACTCGGTGCTGTGGTCGGCAGCAGCCTCCGAGGAAGAGAATCATTAAGGCTCAAAGACAGACCCCGAGAGAAAATCCCAACGGCCCTTTAGAGCGAATCGGAGCCCTGCTTCCAGTCCCAGAAACAAATCCCAAGGCTTATTCGAGGCAGCAGCGGGGCAGAAACGGACCCTGCTAGGAAACGGGCCAGACAGTCATAAGAAAACGCATACACTCGCTGTTCAGGGAAGGCAGCCCGACGTCTCCCCACGCAGTGCTGGTACCCTGCAAATGCTGCGCTCCAGCACCCCACCCGTCCTGAGCCACGCTTCAGCCAAAGGCCACCAAACCTCTTGCGCTGCAGCACAGACCAATGCCCGCACCGCTGCTGGACACAACCGAATGGGTCCTTCGCTTGCCATCCCACGTCCAATCTCAAGTCTCCGGGCATGAAAGGTCTGCTTTCCTCCTCATCGCACCCAGCAATCTCTAGCTCTCACCCATACCACTCAGCCACTGCCAAGACCAACCAAGCCTTGGGCTACCGGAGCCGCCTTGTCCTCCCACAAGCCAGGCCAAGGTATCCTTGAGAGGACTCATAGCTCAGAACGGAGGTGACGTGAAATGACCCCAGAGGTGACTGAGCACTAGGAGGGGTGGCAGCTGGAGTTACCTTTAAATGGGCAGAATTCGTGGCTCCTTTTACTGCTGCCTTCTGCAGCGTGTCAATGGAGGGGCGGTTGTACACTCTGTCTACGAGCTCGGGGACAGTGTTCAGGTGAGAGGCGACATCAAACTCTTTAACTACGGATAGAAAAAGCAGCCAAGATCAGCCACGAGCACTCGGCCTGTTTCCCACGAGTGCTCGGTGGCCAAACAAACAGCTGTGCACGCTACGGGGCAGAGAGCCCCAGGGTCACCTGCACAGAGGACCGCTGCGGCACTGAAGAACAGCAGTCTAGCTCAGCTGGTCAGAGCGGGGTGCTACGGGCGCAGGTTCAATCCCCGGTTGGCCTAGGTGATCTCTTGAGGTCCCTTCCAGCCTTACTTCTCTATGAAACAGCCCATCGGTGGAAGGCTGCTTCATCCCCTCCCTCCACCGCTGTTAAGAGGGAGAGAGGCTCCCAGGAGCACGGGAGGTGTCACCACTCCTGGGAGACAAGCCAGCGGGGCAGCACCGAGCTCTTTTACAAGTCAAAGGAAGCTTTCCCCTGGCAGAGCCCGGGTGACTCCCACCTTCTTTTTTGGTATCCAGGAAGAAGGTGTGCTTGTTGGGCTGCTTCCCCTCGGCGTCCAGCAGGTGGAGCTCCGACTTCAGCCGCTCGATTTTCTGCAAAACAGCAAAGTTAGTCTGCGCACAAAGCGGCACCGTGTTTCCAGCCATCCTTCCTTCTACGACTGACTCCGACTTGAGCAGGCGCGCCGGTGGGCACGAGCCCGCGGAGCAGAAGTGGACGTGCGTTCGTTACGATCCAGGCAGAAAGCCCCGGGGTGGGTCAGTCGCGGCTCGTACCTTGGCTTCTGCCACTCTTTTCATTTCCACGTATTTCAGATCCTGCGTCTTCATCACCTTCATCTGTTCCGGGGTCACCTCTTCCTTCGGCTGCTTTATCACGTGAACTCCGTCCTGAAAGCAAAGGGGACGCGGCGAGCCCCGAGCCGGGCTCCTGCAGCCGCGGCGCTCGAGCTCGCTATCCTCCGCTTCTCCACGCGTCACCCGTGTCTCGTCGTTCGGATCCGACGGACCAGCTCTACGCGCCTACTTAGTTATTCGTAGTTAAAAAGAAAAATCCTCGGTCGGCGCCGAGCGGGTTCCTACCTCGAGCTTCACGCGGGTCATTTTGAAGTAGAACTCATCGGGATTCTTGTCCAGCGCCTTCTTGCGCAGCGCGCGGAGCACGTCCTGCTTCCTGTGGTAGTCACTGCAACGCAACGCAACACAGCGCGCTCGCCAGCTCGTCCACGGGCGCCCGCCCAGCTACGCCTTCGCACCCACACCAGCAGCACAAGGAGAGCCAGGGCCACGGACCCCTGCAGACCCCCGCCCCGCCCAGCCGGCCCTGCTTGGAGGACGCTCGGGGCGGCTCAACGCCGGACTTTGCTGGCGGTCGCAGGAGGCGCTTGTACGCGCGCTCACGCGGCTACACGTCCTGCTGCCGCCGCCACCCGCCCCCCGCGCCCGGCCCGCACAGC